ATTTCTTATACAGGGTTTTCAAAGTGTGCATATCAAATAAGTTATTTGCAATATTAAACATAGCTTTTTGATTTTCAGGTTCTTTCTGGTGTTGTTGTTATGTTACTCAGTGTTTCCTATGACATAAACTTCCAAAGCTATGGTTCCACTGCAGAAACACACTTAATTGACACATAAATATGAAGCTTCATTAGAAATGATAACTGCACAACTTCAAGGGACACGAGGAATCATACATTGAGTAATAGAGAACCACCTGTCCCAACCATTGTATAATAATTTAGCTCTTTTTACCCAATTTTCATAGAGTTTCATGGGACGCATTAGGAACCAAATTAGCAAAGAGTTGAAAGTCAAGTCAACTTTATGTATATAGCACATTTAAAAGACATCAAGTGTCGGCCAAAGTGCTGAACAGAGGGATAATATAATCAAATAAAAAAAAATTAAAATAGGTAAGATAAAAAACATTGTAAGACATCCACATATATATAGACACACAGAGGCAGACTCTTAGCCTTTGAAAATAGGTTGGTCTTCAATTTTGATTTGAAGATTTCCAAAGAGGAAGAGAAATTTATAAAAGAGGGAAGACTGTTCCAAAGTCTCGGAGCAGCAGTAGAGAAACACCTGTCACCTGGATATTATGTCTCATTTATAACAGTGGTGTCTGCACAAAATAAGTCCTGAATGAGATGTATGGGGACGGAGGACTGTTATCTCACAAGTTACTCATCCACCTCACATTCCCCCACCCAGTGAGCACTGTTTTGTCTAAACTGGTGCTAAACTGTGAACTGATTGCCTTATAGTCATTTGTGAATGTTAAGTGTAATCACTGTCTCAACTCCAGTGTAATTTGACAAATTTCTCTGACCACAAACATTAGTGCTGCATTATTAATTGCATGTCATTTTTGTGCCCAGGCATTTTGCATGAAACAGTGATGGTTGTTATTACCACTGTATCACAGCCTTCTAACAGCAGCTTGCCAACCTTTTAAACAGCCTATTAGGAGTACTGCTGGGAAAAAACATAGTAAGCAGTGATACCACCAGAGTAGCTGTGCTCATTTTTAAAATGAACTTTTTCATTGCTATTCTTATCCCTGTTTAATACAGCTGGATTTCTCTCCATCTATCCTGTGTTTTCTCTCCCACCTTGACCTTTTTCATTGTTGCCATACAAGGTAACTCTTGCAGCCAGAAACTGCATTCTTTTCCCAAGATTAGCATGATTCCTCTCAGCTCCTGAGACAAATCACAGCCGTCGACTTGTAAACACCAGAGCTGGAGGAAACAGGCAGCTCGGGGGTCCTTCAGCCAAAATCTTTTAGGACTAAAGCTGTTGTAAGTGCTGTACTCTCCAGAAACTACAATAAAACAGGAGTATGCACATGATCCAGATGAGTGTACCCCGTTAGCTACAACAGCTAATTCCTGCAAAATCTACAGAAAATCTCCACCAGAGTCTTCATGATCTTACCCTCAGCTGGACTGTGAAGGACTGGGATGGATTGATACCATTGAGATCTCTATTTTTATTACAATTGTGAACACATTAAATGCATCGATTTTCCAATACAGTTATCCTTGCCTTCTGTGTTGTTGATTGTGTCGTTGATGTTTTGTGTTTATGAAATCGCCACTTTCATATTTTACAGCCAATTACACGCGTCAAGAAGGGAACATATATTCAGTTCTTGATGACGTTGTTATCTGCATATCCTTTTTTTCTCTGCATTTTGTAAATACATGCACACAGTTATTATAAATGCATTTTGCAGTTTTCTGGGTCTGTCTAGATCTAGATGTCTTATTTCTAAAAGCATTAATTTATTTATTTCTTCACAGTTTTTTATTTTAATGTATTAATTTATTCACTGTTCTTATGTATTTATTTATTATTTTTTGTTTTATTCTTGTGCTATTGCTGCATTTTCAAGCATTTTAATGCAATTGTATGACCGATAAAAGTTTACTGGGTGGTTATTCGTACGTCTGTCTTATCCACCCATATAATTTATAGTTATACATAATAACAAAAGCTTTCTGAATCATAAAAATCGGTACTGAAATCATTCCCTGCTCCATTACAGAGAATGATTTCTGTGCAAATCCCTTCTCTGACACACTATAGCTATTCTCTCTTTATAGAGCTGTGTAGAGGACGCTCTACTGGAACTGAAATAGAAACGGAGCCTTCACTAATAATTAAACATAAATCCTTTCTGAAAGTTTGTTGTAATGATGCAAATGGAGAAACAGACAGACCCAGACTGCTGCTCCCCACACGATCCATAAGAGGGTGCACTTTCTCTCTCTCATGCTCTCTCTCTATCCCTCTATCCCTCTATCGCTCTCTCTCTCTCGCTGTCCTATCCAGTCAGGACATGAAGGGTCACCATAAACAAAGAGGCTTTAGAGGTGAATAACCCCAGCTAGGAGAACATGCTGGCTGGGCTCCCTTTGTGTTGCTGCGGTCACAGTGTTGTTCCAGCAAGCGTCAGCACTAACAGCAGCTGGTGTGCTTCAAGCTCTTACTGGCAAATCCTACTGAGTCATCAGCAGGCTGTTCCTCTTTGTCCACAGGTTTAGGTGAGCCCTGTGACCTCCTTGTTGGAGTCCTGTCTGCTGGGTGTCACACTGCAGCACCACCTGCACTGACATTAGGACACAGCAGGGTGGGATACAGGCACCCTTTAAAACACCTGTTGTTCTCACTCGAGCAAGATGTGACCGTGTGCTTACTTTGCCATCCTTAACATTATTACCTTCCTTATGTACTGTTTTCTTCTGTCCATGCTGTGATGCCTGTAAGCTGCTCTTTTACTAACATTTAGCCAAACTTAGCCGAGTTAACCCTTTAACATCTAAACTACATACATGGCAACATTTATTTCATTTATTTCATTTGATTCGATGAAAATAGGAAGCACGAAATAATGACTGAACACATATTTGCACCGAGACATTAAAGAGGTAATAAAGGACTATTGTTCCTGTCAAGTTGAACTCTTCGAATAGTATACACCAGGGGTGTCGGACTCCAGGCCTCGAGGGCCAGTGTCCTGCAGGTTTTAGATCTCACTCTGGGTCAACACACCTGAATAAAATGATTAGCTCATTACCAGGCCTCTGGAGAACTTCAAGACATGTTGAGGAGGTCATTTATCCATTTAAATCAGCTGTGTTGGATCATGGACACATCTAAAACCTGCAGGACACCGGCCCTCGAGGCCTGGAGTTAGACGCATGTGGTTTACACCATTAGAATGCAGCGCAAATGCTTAAAAATGTCTAATAGTTAATATAATATTAGTGATGTGCGGATCGATACTGAAATATTGATTCCTCCGATACCAGTCATTTATGCTCTAGAATCGATTCTCATATTAAAATATCGATATTTTAGTAATTTAGGGTAAATTTGTAGTTTATAGAGTGGAAAGAAACTATATCATTCGGATTGTCTACATTGGAAGGAACTACTTCCTCTTCCGCCTTTAATGGTCATGTGTGAAATACGGCTGTATAAATGTGTAGCAGCCCCTGGCGTGCACACGCACAACAATGGCTGAGCGTAAACGGAGTCATGTGTGGACGTATTTTACCTCCACAAACAGCCAAGACGCAGTTTGCGATACATGTGGCAAGAAAGTGAGGTGTTGTGGCAATACCACTAACCTTGTCAAACACCTCAGAGTAAATCATATCACAGAATATGACGAGCATATGTTGAGGCGAACTGAAGAGGAGAGGGACAGATGCTGCTAGGGCGAGACAGACATCTCTCACGGAGTCCTTTAGTGCTGCAGCCAGGCAACATGCTCAAATGGCACACAACTTCAGCTTTCAATATGATAATTCTGCATCATTAAGTGATAAGAACAAGTAATCTGACGTTCTGTAATCATTATGAAGCTATAATTTGAGATGCAATAAAAGATACAGTAAAAAAAAAAAGTTTTTGTACAGGTTCGGTATCGGATCAGTATCGCTGATACCACCCTGAATTTTACTTGGTTTTAGATCGGACAGGAAATCAGTGGTATCGCACGTCACTATGTAATATATCTCAACTCCTAGGTTACTTTTTAAAATTCCCAGCTGCAGGAAATATCCCCACATTCAGTCAACAGCATCTCCATAAATCCACGGATTCCTTAATGATGACTGATTGAGAAATAAAATAAGTCTCTGTTCCAATCAACACGTTAAAAAATGTGGGGAAAAAATGCAAATAAACACTTTCTAACACTGAGTCACGGCACTAATGTTATTGAATCTTTGTTAATACTTCTCTGCATCTCTTCATTAGCTGTTCTGTTATGTTTATGAGAATATTAGAGCAGCCGTATTGGTTACTATAAGCATTTCCTCTTCTTTTAGCTGCACTGTTCAGCGGTCGCCACATCTGCCTCTATCTCGCCCAGTGCTTAACATCCTTTTCTGTCACACCAACCCTCTCCACGTCTTCCTTCATGACATTCATGAATCCTCTCTGACATCTTCCTCTTTTCCTCCTGCCTGGCAACTCAATATTTTATATCTTTTGTCCAATATGCCCACTATCCTTCTGTACATGTTCCCATCTGTTCAGCCTGAGCTGGTCACTCCCAGAGAAAGCCTCAGCATATTCAACTCTGACAGCCTAACGACTCCAGTGCCACCATCTCCAAACTATACATTACAGAAAGTCTCATTTTCATCTTGTAGCTGTCCTTCTTTCACAAGTCATCCCGACACCCATCCCCACCCACTCCATCCTACAATATTCATAAAATTGTTCATATTCATTTGGTAATGATGTCATTAATCTGTATTGCTTGAGGAAAAGCTTAGATCAGGTCGTGGATGGAGTAAAGAGGGCGTTACGAGTGAAAGAAGAATTAGAAGAATTTTAAAGTTTAATAAATCATGCTGTCTTTCATCAGGAAAGAGGAGGGTTTGAAAATCATTTTACACTTTCCAGCACTCATAAGCATGAAGGGATACACATACTGAGCACAATTTTTTTTTATTAAATGTGCAAAGAACATGAGATAGACTGAAAACATGCGATAGACTGTCTACATGTCATGGACACGGCGGAAAGACCCCACATTGGGACTCATGGCAGCCCACTCATTGAAGCGGCGGTACTCTCCTCTTCCCAGGAGATACTGGCGTCCATGATAGTTGGAAAGCTCGTAGAAGACCCAGGCGCCATCCTGCACTTGGGCAGAGTGAACCTCGCGGTGGTGCCAGCGGTCGGGCAGGTTGTTCTCATCTTCAGTGCAGTCCAACATCTGACCACTGAAGTCAGGACGCTCATAAACACGGACCCTGAATGCACCAGAGGTCTGTAATGCAAACATCAGTTCAGTCTGAGTGGTAAAACCATTTGTGTTTTACCTCACAGATGTGACATGTCTCTGATTTTGCATATCATGAAGTTGTGATTATACTCTACTGATTTTTTTCTTAGTTTTCAAAGTAACATTGCTATTGGGTGCACATCAGGGAAACTGATGGGTGAAACAAAGTAGAGGATTGATCCCAGCTGTCTTAGGGCGAGAAGCAGGGTACACCCTGGACAGGTCGCCAGTCTGTCGCAGGGCTAACACATAGACACAGACAACCATTCGCACTCACATTCACACCTATGGACAATTTAGAGTTTCCACTTAACCTATCCCCACTAACTGCATGTCTTTGGACTGTGGGAGAAAGCCGGAGTACCGCCAAGAACATCCAAAATCCACACAGAAAGACCCCAGCCTGATGGTGGAATTTAACTCAGGACCTTCTTGCTGTGAGGCAACAGTGCTAAGTGGCATCTACAGCCATGTGAATGCAGTATGCATTTAAAAAATCTATTTGAAAAAGACACTAGCAAATATCCGACATTGATCTTGGAATATAAATCATTTATCATTTCTAAGCTCTTCCGTCTAATTTGTCATAAAACTGATTAAAACCTGAACCTAAGTGAAGACTAACTGGGGTTTTCATTGTCAATAAATGTAACATCTGGAATAGACAGTTAAACTATCACACTCATGACATGAGGTGAAAAGTTACTATAGACTAATTAATTCCACTCACGTTCCGTATGATCCGACATGACCTGATGCTGTCATTGTAGCCCATCCAGCTCTGATAATGTGCATACTCCCCCCTGGTCAGTATGTACTGGTAGCCCATGTAGTTAGGCCTCTCATAGAGTACCCAGGACCCACTCTCCACGCGGATAGAGTTGCAGTGACTGAAATGGGCGTTCAGCTCTGGACAGTCACTGCTGCACTCATAATAGCGACCTTGGAAGTTTCTGTCTTCATAAAACACGATCTGTGAATGGATATGCATATTCACACTTCATGCTCGAGGTGCTGCTGCAGTTGAATCTTTAAATCAGATAATGTTTGTCCTCCTACCTTTCCCACACGGTCCATGTTTGGCCCTCACACCAATTTTTGAGCACCGTTTGTTTATCCCACCTTTTACATAGACATTATTGCCTACAGCCTTGGTCCAGATTTATATATGCTGTGTATGTGGGCACACTGAAATGCACTGCCAGGGGCATCATTGTTATTTTAATTGCCTCAGCATCTACATCAGCACAATGGCTGATGCTGCATTTGTTTTAGCTTTATACAGTGTTTACAGTGGCTGACCTTTTGATCTGTCAAAGCCCGTTTCCAGAAACAATTTATTGATCCAATTAAAGTGTCTGCTGCAAAGCTGCTGCAGCTGCACCTGATGCTGTAAAGTTGGCTTGTGGCCACATAGCAACATGATACTGGCTTTAACTAGGCTTGAGTGGAGTGGACAGGTGATGCTCCACCCTCCATCAGCAACCCCACCTTGGTACAAAGTCAGCTGACAGCTATCGCATGAGCTCTGCCAGACGTGGTGGATTATTCTAGAGTTATATCATCTGCTGGGTTTGTTTACAGCATAATTTGTGACTCCAAGAGTGCAGAAGTGCAGGGCTGTTTTTCTTCAATGACTCAATTCCAATTTGTAGTGGATAATTTGGAATTACTCATAAAGTCTGATTATTAGCTGTGCTAATTTTTGACTTTTTCATTAGACATTTTATATTTCTAGCCTTCCAAATGTGAGGATTTGTTTGTGCTTTTTGTTTTTGTAGTACAGTTAATATATTGACATCTTGATATCCACATTTAAATCACAACCTCTTAACTTCATTCAGGTCATTTTTAGCTGTTTAAAACGATGTCAGTGCCAAACTGTATACGATTTCATTGGAAATATAACATCTTTTGGGTTTTTACCTTTTTAGCACGTGGCTAAAACAAAAGTCAACCCTCAGCCTAAACATGTTCCAAGCAGGTTATATAAAAATGCATCAACTTAAACCAAAGCCTGCACCTAATCTTATGCCTAGATGGGTCACCAATAATAATAAAAGCGAGGTAAAGGTTTTACCTTTTGATCATTTCTTTCACTGTTGATTGGGGGGCAGTAATCTGAATAGAGGAAGAGAAAGATTTCATGTATGTCTCTGCATTGGCTGGCAGATCTGATTGTTATTGCTACAAATAAATGAGAAAAGATTCTGTGAATCTTTGATATTCTAAAAAAAACAAACCCTAAATATCACAATATTTATATCAGTGAGGGAAGCCTGCATATTAGAAGTTGTGGCTACAGCCAGCCAAAATCGGCCATGTAGCCAAAACAAGTGAAGATTTATAGTGTTATGATGTACAGCTACATGTAGAATTAGGAGCAATACAACATTTGAGAGAATATATATTTTCATTTCTTCTAACTTGTGGTGAAAAGATTGAGATCATGCGATCTCCCCTTAATGTATTCACAAGAAGAGACAAGTGCAATGACACATTCAAATTAAAACAATATATTTGATTAACAGGTCACATTTTAAGCCTGTATGATTCTTCTGATGGAGCCTACAACTGCTTTCAGAGCTCCCCACTCTGAGCAGTGGTGGTACTCCCCTTTCTCCAGCAGGTACTGACGGCCGCTGAAGTTGGGGTGTTCAAAGAACACCCAGGTCCCCTCTAGAACCTTGCAGGACTGGACTTCTTGCCGGAGCCATTTGTCCTGGACTGACTTTATGCTTTCTGTCAGCTCCAGAGATTGGCCAATAAAGTTAAGTCGTTCATACAGCATCAGCTTGTAGGGCCCTTTGGGCTGAAAGTAAAGAAATGTGGTCAGTTTGACGTGTGACGTGTTTTTCTACTGATCACTTCTAGGCAGAGACTTACATTTCTGATGATCCTGCAGGATCTTACACAGTCATTGAATCCCATCCAGGAGCCGTAATTATTGTACTTTCCTGGACCAATGACATATTGGTAGCCGGTGAAGTTGTTGCGCTCGTACAGAACCCACCAGCCACCTTCTACTTTCACTGAATTGCATCGGCGGATGTAACCATGCAGGTTTGCTGAGTCCCCTTTGCAGTCATAGGACTTTCCTTTGAAGTCCTGATCTTCAAAAAACACAATCTAGAAAGAGCAGAATTATACAGAATTTTACTCGCATTGAATTCAATCTGAATCTGTGTTAACTAAAATATCTACAGCACTAAATTTAGAGCCCAATTAGATCGTCTATGAATGCTGTAAATTCTCACCTTCTCCATCTGTCGAGCCTAAAATACTACACTAAGTTACCAACGTAGTACTCTTTATACATGGCAGAGACAATACTACCAAATGCATGGTTAGCAGTGCCTGTAACCATTATTACAATTCAAATATTCGTCTAGAATCTGCCTATTGTTCTTACTCACTGAATTGCTTTTCCGAACACAATGATTGTTTAGCAGTGCCAAGAATCTAAACCTGCTTGGTCTAAACAGATTTGAAGCACAGCTATAAATGTGTGTGTGCAGTTTTATGTAAAGCTTTTGTTAAGCTGTTGATTATGAAAGTTTGAGTTCAAATAAAATCTATGATCCTTTTTTTAACCTTTTTTGTTTTGTATTATTATCTACATGCAATCATCATCAATCGAAACAAGTAGTGTATGTGTATCCTTGAATGATAAAACATTAACTGAACTGGTGTACAGAGGTCCCTCATTTATCATTCTAAAAATAACCCACAAGAACCGAACTTTATTTTTTACAGTTATTATAGATGTTTTAAGGCTGTAAAACCCCTCACTACACACTTTATACACATTTCTCAGAGAGGCATGAACATTTTCACTTTTCTCTCTTGTTTAAACACTCTCAAAGTTCAAACCTTGTAGAAAAATAAGTCCAGTGTTATATAATGAAACCAACGGCTCCTGCAGGTGACGATGTTTCGTTGACATTGTTGTGTTTGTTAGGGAGAAAACTTACAAACATACAGTACAGCCATTTCAAATATACAGATTTATGTATATTTGACAAGCTGAAAGCATTCTGTACTGTACAGGAGATATGGCACAAGATTGATTGACAAAAGTCTACAGCCAATCAGGACGCAGAACACAATGCGCTGTAAAAATAAATAAATAAATAAAGTAAATTTGGACACAGAAAATTCACGAAACAGCGAGGCCGCAAAAGGTGAACCACGTTATAGCGAGGGACCACTGGACTCACAAATAATAAAAATCAAAAAAAGAAAAAACATATAAAAGTAGAGTATTTTGAGTCAAGTTCCCAATCAGGGAATTTGCTAAAACCAACACTAACAAATATGAGAACATTACAGCAATGTTTTAGTAAGTTCATAACCTTACAAGATCATTATAACCTGTTAACATCCACCAATGACCAGCCAGCAGCTTAGGGTGTGTCTTTGAAATAGAAATAGCTTCAAATCAACTCTCTTAGATGGAGTTCTTCCCTTTATACTACGGGTGTACTATCCATTATTCTATTCCAAATATGTAAGAAGACAAAATGTAACCTAACCCAGAACAGGTCACTTGCAATGTGATGGTTAAGTTATGTAATGGAAGTTAAGAAATTCAATTATGATGCATTTTATCAATGTAAAAACAGTCATTTTAAGTTTAGCCCTATTCATAGTATAGGTTCTATATTGGTACAGTGATTATTGATTTTTTGATTTTACAGTTGAAAATGGCCATCTGAAAATGCATTTTTCTGTTATTTTCGTCATAAACCTAAATACTGCAGGATGCCTAAAAATGAAGCTAATGTTATACTCAGTTAATATGTTTAGTAAAGTTCAGTAACCACAGAGTGATATAGTGTGTACCAAAGAGTGTAATAAACACAGTGTATCAGTGCTTATGCAAAAAAGTGTACATACACTTTTCTAAAATGATCATATGAAAATAAACACTATATCATCGTTTTATATCTTATTTTACATATTTGTACTGAGCCATAGAGTGGAAACGTAAAAACTACAACTTTGCAAGAGGGTCTTTAACTTTGTGCAGCCATTATTTCACTCAGCAACATGCATTATTTGAAAATGTTTAACTTTTATGGGTTTGTAAAAGAACTTTCATCTTCCTGTTGTTAAATTTACTTGTTTTTTCTCATCTGATTATGCATATATATAACTTGACCTCTGGATTGACTTAAGCAACTTCAAAAAAGGTTTAAAGAAGATGAAGAAGAGACTAAAAGCAGCTGACATAACAGGTAATGTAATAAGAAGCAACAGAGGCTGAATTGTTATGAGTAAGAAGTGTATTTATTCATTTAAGTATAGCACTTGGAGTGCTGGAAAGAAGTACAGGGTATAGGAGGGAAAAACAGTGTTGGAGGGAGGAACTTCCGGATCTTCTTCAAGAGTTCTAGAACTTATTTAAAGGTTACAAGACTTCCATGGTATTAAGACTCTGTTGGTTGTCTTATCAGCAAGACAACCAACAACAACCAAGCAATGTTCTAGAATACAGAGTCCTGCAGCTTGATCCTTGTCTGTCAGATTAAGAACATTGTTGGCTTGGATAATTTTTTCACAAGCTGCAGAACCCTACTTTGGTGCTGCTGCTCTAGAGTTCTGTGACCATTCGGAAGGATCCTGCAGCAGGGGAGTTGGCGCCCCAGTCTGTATAGTTGGGGTACTCTCCACGTTCCAGGAAATACTGGTGTCCATGGTAGTCTGGTTGCTCATACAGGACCCATGTACCATCCATCACTACGCAGGAGCGCAATTCCCGAAACTTGAAGGTCTCATAAACTGATGGGCAGTCTTTGACACACTCAGCTGCCTGGCCTCCAAAATCCTGCTTGTCGTAGAATCTGATCTTCCAGGATTTTCCATAAACCTGTAGCAAGTCAAATCTCACAAAATCAAGTTGGTGTTTCGCATTAAATAATAATACTTTGAACTCAAAACTACATATGGGTTTCTTGGCTGTTTTCCCACTTTCCTTAAATAATTGATGTGCATTGGCACGGGCATAAAGCACCCAGCTGCCAAATCATGAGCCTTTTATCTCTCCTTTTTGTCTGTTGGTCTTTGACTGATTACTGCTTGGTTGGTGCACTCTGTGGTATTTTGCTGTAGCCAAGCACTCCTCTACAACTTGTTAGAATAGGCCTATTGAACCTTGGAGAAACTGGGTCACATTA